ATGAGGTTTTGAAACTTCAAATGCAGAGGGGGTCTGAGGTGATTGTCTCTGTCATTGGGGAGGGGCAGACGGGGAAGGACGACTCACCTGTCACACCTGAGAGAATTTCCACTCCGAGGACTTGAGTCAACATAGAAAGCCAGTTGCCAAAACTTACTTACTTACTTACTCTCTTTCCTTTCTTCTTTCTTTCTCTCTCCTTCTCTTTCTTTCTATTTCCTTCCTTCTTTCTTTTTCTCTTTCTTTATTTCCTTCTTTCTCTTTCTTTCTCTTTCCTTCCTTCTTTCTTTCTCTCTCTTTCTTTCCTTCCTTCTCTCTCTCTCTTTCTCTTTCCTTCTTTCTTTCTCTCTCTTTCTTTATTTCCTTCTTTCTCTCTCTCTTTCTTTATTTCCTTCTTTCTTTCTTTCTATTTCCTTCTTTCTTTTCTTTCTTTTCCTTCCTTCCCCTCTCTCTGTCTCTCTTTCTTTCTTTCTCTTTCCTTCTTTCTTTCTCTCTCTCTCTCTTTCCTTCCTTCTTTCTCTCTCTCTTTCTTTTCCTTCCTTCTCTCTCTCTCTTTCTCTTTCCTTCTTTCTTTCTCTCTTTCTTTATTTCCTTCTCTCTCTTTCTTTCCCTCCTTCCTTCCTTCCTTCCTTCTTTCTTTCTTTCTATTTCCTTCTTGCTTTTCTTTCTTTCTTTTTCCTTCCTTCCCCCTCTCTCTTACTCTCTTTCTTTCTCTTTCTTTCTCTTTCCTTCTTTCTTTCTCTCTCTCTCTTTCCTTCCTTCTTTCTCTCTCTCTTTCTTTCTTTCCTTCCTTCCCCCCACCTCTCTCTCACTCTCTTTCTTTTTGAAACTATTTTTTTTGGTTTAACCAAATATAAACTAGAAAGAGAAATTCAAAAAAGTCAGGGAAAACTAGGAACTTCTGTAGCCATTCATCCCTGGTGGGAATCAAAATATCCTTCCATTTTTGTGGGGTAATGTACCCTTGCTGCCATCAACATATATAGATATAAAAAAGATCAGAATTCCAGATTTTTTTCCCCAAGTCAAAACTGCTTTGTCCTTGAACAGGAAGTCCTCAACTGACAACCGTTTCTTGGGCAATCCTTCAAAGCGACCACGACACTGAAAAAAAGAGATTTTATGACCAGTCGTAACGACCATTGCAGCAACCTCACAGATCAGAAATCAGGGGGTGGATGAACGACCATTATGTCCCATATTTTTCATAGTATGATGCACTTTTCCCTCCCCTAAAAGAGGGTGGAAATGTTGGTGCATCTTATACACCGAATACAGCCATTTTTGGCCTCCCGAAACCTCGGCCCCCCGCATCCGTTTTTCACAAAAACAGGCCGCGCAGAAGGTTTGAGAGGCCTGCAGACTGCTCCTGGGGGCCAAGGAGGACCAAAAACTTTTTTTTTCCTTGTTTTCCTCTTCGAAATCCTGGTGTGTCTTATACTCTGGTGCGTCTTATAGTCTGAAAAATACGGTATTTACAATGGTTCATCTCGCTTCCAAAAAAACAAAGTCAATGGGAGAATCTGGATTCAGTTCATGACTTCATTTTTCATTTAACAACTGCAGTGACTCACTTAATAACAGGGGCAAGAAAGGTCGTAAAATGGAGCAAAGCTCGCTTCACAAATGTCTCACTTAACGACAGAAATTGCAGGCTCAATTGTGGTCGCTAAGTCGAGGACTGCCTGCATTGGCTCGCTTTCACTTGTTTGCATGTTTCAACTCCTTGTGCACAGTCACTCATGCCTTGGTCACGTCACGCCTGGACTACTGCAACGCTCTCAACATGGGGCTCCCCCTGAGGAGCACCCGGAGGCTCCAGCTGGTGCAGAATGCGGCCGTGCGGGTGATTGTGGGAGCGACGTGGCGCTCCCACGTAACACCTCTCCTGCGCGAGCTGCATTGGCTCCCGGTGGTCTTCCGGGTGCGCTTTAAGGTGTTGGTTCTCATCTTTAAAGCGCTCCATGGCTTAGGGCCAGGGTATTTTCGAGACCGCCTGCTCCTACCGATAACCTCCCACCGTCCGATACGCTCTCACAGAGAGGGCCTCCTCAGGGTGCCGTCGGTCAGGCAATGTCGGCTGGCGGCCCCCAAGGGGAGAGCCTTCTCTGTGGGGGCACCCGCCCTGTGGAATGAACTGCCTCCTGGAATACGACTGATCCCGGACCTCCGGACCTTCCGTAAAGCCCTGAAGACGTTTTTATTCCATCAAGCCGGCCTAGCCTAAATGGTTTTTAAATTGGGATCTTAAATTTTATGGATTTGGGGGTTTTAAATTGGGAAGCTAGTGATTTAATTCTTTTTAATTATCTTAACTTTTGTATTTGTATGTTTTTTAATTTTGGCTGTTCACCGCCCTGAGTCCCTTCTGGGAGAAGGGTGGTATACAAATTAATTAATTAATTAATTAAACAAACAAACAAACAAACAAACAAACTCTGCTTGGATATGACTTGAAAACAGCTTTTCTTCACTCAAGGATTTTTCTTCTTATCCTCAGAGCACGGTCATTGTGGAAAAAACGGTCCAGGACCTCATGAATTTGATGCATGACTTAAGCGCCTACTCAGACCAGTTCCTGAACATGGTATGTGTCAAACTCCAGGAATACAAGGACACCTGCAGTGTGGCTTACAGGTACGACTATGGAGCTTCTCGGTTTGAAAAAAAAAGGCCATGGTGCTTTTTTTTTTCAAAAGGCCTGGAGTTTCTTTGTTTTTCCTTGGAAGTCCTTTTGCTCCACATCCAAGAAGCTTCTTCCGTTCTGACTGCGTGATGTCATTCCCTCACCGTTCAGTTAGAACCAATGAAGCTTCTTGGATGAGGAGCGAAAGGTCTTCAACGAACAACAAAGAAAGTCCAGGTGCCTTTTGGAAAAAAAAAAACACACACATTTGAGATTTAACAGGTATGACTTACTGGAATGTGGTGTGAATGGGGACCCTCTTCCAAATAAGAGAGCTTTAGCTTTAGAGAACAGTCCGATAAGAGAGGGCACAGCCCAGAGCTGTTAATGGATGGAGAAAAAGATTTAGAAGGGACCCTCCCTAGCTTCTCAGGTTATAAAGGAGGCAGAGGGGAGAATTGTACTTTCAGGCTTATAGGTTTTTGTTAATGTAGCTTTAGAGAACAGTCCGATAAGAGAGGGCACAGCCCAGAGCTGTATAATGGATGGAGAAAAAGATTCAGAAAGGACTCTCCCTAGCTTCTCAGGTTATAAAGGAGGCAGGGGGGAGATTTATATTTTCAGGCTTATAGGTTTTTGTTAATGTAGCTTTAGAGAACAGTCCGATAAGAGAGGGCACAGCCCAGAGCTGTATAATGGATGGAGAAAAAGATTCAGAAAGGACTCTCCCTAGCTTCTCAGGTTATAAAGGAGGCAGGGGGGAGATTTATATTTTCAGGCTTATAGGTTTTTGTTAATGTAGCTTTAGAGAACAGTCCGATAAGAGAGGGCACAGCCCAGAGCTGTATAATGGATGGAAAAAAAGATTCAGAAAGGACCCTCCCTAGCTTCTCAGGTTATAAAGGAGGCAGGGGGGAGAATTGTACTTTCAGGCTTATAGGTTTTTGTTAATGTAGCTTTAGAGAACAGTCCGATAAGAGAGGGCACAGCCCAGAGCTGTATAATGGATGGAAAAAAAGATTCAGAAAGGACCCTCCCTAGCTTCTCCAGGTTATAAAGGAGGCAGGGGGGAGATTTATATTTTCAGGCTTATAAGTTTTTGTTAATGTAGCTTTAGAGAACAGTCCAATAGGAGAGGGCATAGCCCAGAGCTGCATAATGGATGGAGGAAAAGATTCAGAACGGAGCCTCCCTAGCTCCTTAGGTTATAAAGGAGGAGGAGAATTGTACTTTCAGACTTGCAAGATTTAGTTAATGCAGCCTTATAGTAAAGGTACAAATTAGCTCATCTCCTTGTGTTCTCTCTGGTCTACCTGTGTGGGCCGACACAAAGGAACAGATTAAAAAACAACATTATATGAAAATACCAAGTTGGTTATCACCGGTAGAATCAATTAGACACCCAAATCTAACAGATAAGACAAAAATAATTAGATATAAAGATTTAATTGACTATCAAGGTAAATTGAAGACAAAACAACAATTGGAGACAGACTTAGATAGGGAAATAGATTGGTGGACTTATACCCAAATACAATCTAAATATAGAGAACACATAAAAATATATGAAATTCATAAACAAAAACAAGAAATAGATAAAATTATACTAGAAAACAAACTAATTAGCAGAATTTACAAATTTCTTTTATGCTATAAAATGGAGGAAGAGACAGTCAAGGAAACAATGATTAAATGGGCTCAAAACATCAAACATACAATAAATTTGGAAAAATGGGGAAAGTTTTGGCAAGTAAATATAAAACTAACAAGAGCAGTGGCGTACAAGGAAAACAAACTGAAAATGTTTTATAGGTGGCACATGTCTCCAACCAGACTGGCAAAAATACAGCCCAAAAACAGTCCGATCTGCTGGAAGTGTAAGAAGACACAAGGAACTTTCTATCATTTATGGTGGACATGCCCGGCAGCAAAGAAATTTTGGTCTAACATCAAAAAATGGTTGGAACAAATAACAGAAACACAGATAGATAAAGAACCAGAAACGTTTTTACTAGGAATTTTTAATAAATCATACTCGAAAGATATTAAATATCTCACAATTCACATACTAACAGCTGCAAGAATAATATACGCAAAAAATTGGAAGCAAGAAAAAACGCCAAACGAAACAGATTTAATAGAAAAATTTTTAGAATGAGCTGAAATGGATAGGTCAACCAAAGAAATACAAGAAAGAGAAGAATCAGATTACTATAAAATATGGAATAAATGGTATAATTGGTTAAAAATTAGAAATAAACAAAAAACCTAGAGGGGAAATATTACCGGTATAGAAAATGTTATTACACTAAGGAGAGGTGAAGAAATATATAACAAGCAGAATATCACTTTGAAACAATGCTTAAGAAGGAAACAAAATTTCTTTTTTTTATAGGTTGTATAAATGTTTGTAGTGTGTATGTTATGTTATGTTTTTTTAATATTTATACTCTAATAAAAATTTATTTAAAACAACAACAACATCAACAAAGGAACAGATTTATCTGTGTTTTGGAGTTTTCGCCCCTTGAGATAAAAGAAGCGGATGTAGCTTGATCTTTCATTCAAAAGAACACATAAATACTAGAAAGATTTCTAAGAATCAAGCACGGCCTCTTCACTTGCTTGTAAAATTATAGGAAGAATAGGAGTGAAATAGGAGTCACGGTTGCCATAATTTTGTTTTCTTTGAGCCAATAAAGAGCTCGGCACACACATTGAACGAAACCTCTAACATCACCGTGAACAGACATGCCTACGCTAACAAATTCCATTTAAGTGTAAAAGCCGACGGTAAATTAATACGCTAGTTCTCTGATCAACCTTTTTGGAGAAATAAATTGCTCTAGGCTTCATTTTTTATGCGTTTTAAAGTTTACACAATTTCCTAATTATCATCTGAATACAAGAGAAAACAATTGGACTTTCTCCCCCTACGATTCGTTGTTCAAGACAGCTTTTCCTTTCATATTCTTTTCAATTTGGCATTTGGCGCTCGGCGTATCTCAGGGGTTGATAGTTTAGGAAACGGGAAAACACATTGTGCTCAGAGGTGGTATTCAGCCGGCTTGGAACGGTTCGGGCAAACCGGTAGCAGAAATCACGCATGGGGCCGCCCATCCACGCCAGGTCTATGCTCTCCTATTTAGGCACATTTTTGAGGCCAGACTATGCGCGGAAGGCAGGCGAGCAAAGCACATGCGCGAAAGGCCGGGCGCATACGCGGAAGGCAGGTAGTAGCACTTAACATCTGCAGCGATTCCCTTAACAGCTTTGTCCTAAAATGGGGTGCAAGTCGCTGAATAGCTGTCTTGCTTAGCAACAATAAATTTGGGGCTTAATTGCGGTTGTAAGTCGAGGACTACCTGCAGTACTTGGCCAAACCATCTTTCTTCTTCTAAACTGTCCTCTGGTTCTTTTTATTTATTTATTTATTTTAGGAGCATTGTCCAGTCGGACGACAAGATGGTGATCAGCGCATCTTGGGCCAAAGACGACGACATCACCAGACTCTTGAAGTCCCTTCCCAACTGGAGCAACATGGCCCAGCCCAAGCAGTTGAGACCTAAAAGAGAGGAAGAAGAAGACTTCATTAGGTGGGTCCTTCCTTAGATCCATGGATGTAAATCACGGTTTAACCTGGACTCCATCTTCTTAATGGTGGGCCACGAAACAAGGAACAAACAATGAGTCCACAAGGTCAGGAACAAAGTACTGGGTCCACGAAGTCAGGAAGAAGCAAGCAGTCCTGCAAACTCCAAATGTCTATACCGGCACACCAAACTCTACCAATTCAGTGTTTGTTCCGGACAAACGCCCCTCCCCTCAGCGTCTCCTTAAATCTCAGTCCCCAGGTATGCTTTGTGAAGAGGGGCGGGGCGCTCTCCTCCCAAGTTGTTGGGTTGGCCTGCGCTGTTCCCGCCTTCTCTCCACTCTCCATGCTCGAGGATCAAGAGGGGGCAATAGTTGCTCATCACCTGAGCTCTGTCGTTCCTCATGTCCGCTACTTGCCCTCTCTTGTCATCCTGCCCCCATTCCTCCCTGCTGACAAGCCATCCCAATCCTGAGGGGGCCTGGGCTGCCTCGGCCTGCTCCTCCCCACATTCCTCCAAAGCCAGCGAAGCCGCCCCCTTGATCTCCGTCAGCTCCAGCTCCGACTCGTCCTCCTCCACAGATTCAGACTCCCACGGGGGGCATGACAGCCTTGCTGTTCTCAAAATGAAGATAAACGTAAGCACTTCCAGGTGGTACCCTTTTCATTGTTCTATCGTACTTTGTCGAGAAGTTAGGAGGCATTGTGAATCATTAGACACTTCTCTCCCTCGTAGGCAAATCTACTCGCCTGTGTATAAATCTTTATTGTGAAATAGCTTGAAATCTTTTAACACCTTTATCCCCTGCTTTCTAATCCATCTAATCAAAACATATAAAATTAACACATTTTTTATCTCGGAGGTCGATCAGTTCCCAACATTTGTAGACCAGTGAAATTGGACTGAACCGCTAAACGCCCTCTTTGAGGGTTGCTTCCTGACTTTAGCGGACGACTCAATTGGGACTGTCTGACCGCTGGATCAATTTTCTTCGCTTTCGTGGTCCAGCTGCTGACCTCTTCCCTGCCCACCCCCTCGGGATACCTGGGAAAGCTTCTTGGAAGCTACTAAGCTGTTTTAGAAGTCCCTGGTGATGGGCGAGAGGCTGGTTATTACCGCTTACCGGAGTCCATTAGGAAAATTACGCTAAGGAATTCCTAGCCTTTCCATATCATCTGGAGCCAACCTGGTGTGGGGTTGAAATTGATCAGACTTCCCTTCCCCCTGTAGAAGAACATTGTCAGGATAATGCTGATTTAAAGCTGACCAGCCAATGTAAGGCTAATGCAACTGGGCCACGTCACTAGGAGATGGTGAGTTCTAGTCCCGCCTTAGGAATGAAAGCCAACTGGATAAGTTTGGGCCACATCACTAGGAGATGGTGAGTTCTAGTCCCACCTTAGGAATGAAAGCCAACCGATAAATTTGGGCCACATCACTAGGAGATGGTGAGTTCTATTCCGCCTTAGGAATGAAAGCCAACTGGATAAGTTTGGGCCACATCACTAGGAGATGGTGAGTTCTAGTCCCGCCTTAGGAATGAAAGCCAACTGGATAAATTTGGGCCACATCACTAGGAGATGGTGAGTTCTATTCCCGCCTTAGGAATGAAAGCCAACTGGATAAGTTTGGGCCACATCACTAGGAGATGGTGAGTTCTAGTCCCCCCTTAGGAATGAAAGCCAACTGGATAAGTTTGGGCCACATCACTAGGAGATGGTGAGTTCTAGTCCCGCCTTAGGAATGAAAGCCAAACTGGATAAGTTTGGGCCACATCACTAGGAGATGGTGAGTTCTAGTCCCACCTTAGGCTTTAATGCCTGTTGGCTGACTTTGGGCCAGTCCTTCTCTCTCAGCCCATCCCACCTCCACAGGGTTGTTGTTGTTGCGAAGAAAATAGGAGGAGGAAAAAGCCACTTTGTGTTACTTATAAAAACTAACAAAGGTGGGATAAAAATAAATAAATAAATCATGCTGCTCTGCCTGATTGACACACGCCTTGCTCTCTTTTTTCTTCTAGGACTGCCTTCGGCAAAGAGTCTGAAGTCCTGATCGGGAACCTGGGGGATAAACTGATTCCCCAGCAAGAGATTCTCCGGGACGTCAGCGATCTGAAGGCCCTGGCCAACATGCACGAAAGCCTGGAATGGCTGTCGGGACGGGTGAAAAGCGCTTTCTCCAACCTTCCGTTGGCCCAGAGTAAGTGACCCCTGGGGACGCAGAAATACACCAGTGGGGATTTCAATTACTGGTCGCCCTCGAGTTATGACCACAATTGTGCCCAACATTTCCGTTGCTAAATGAGAGGGTTGTTAAGTGAGTTTGGCCTCCTTTTACAAACTTTCTGGCAGAGGTTGTTAAGTGAATCACTGGATGCATGGATGGATAGATAGATAGATGAATAGGATGAAGAGCCTCGGTGGTGCAGCGGACTAAGTGCTGTTATTGTAGCACTTAGCTGCCAGCTGCCTGCAATTAGTGCGAGTTCAAATCTCACCAGGCTGAAGGTTGACTCAGCCTTCCATCCTTCCGAGGTAGGTAAAATGAGGACCCAGATTGTGGGGGCAATAAGCTGACTTTGTAGAAACACCAACGCCAAAAGCCCTACTAAGCAGGTATATACAAAAGAATGAAGGCTATTGCTATAAATGCATTGTAAGCCACCCTGAGTCTTCGGAGAAGGGCAGCATATAAATTGAACTAATTAATTAATTAATAAATAAATAAATAAATAAATAAATAAATAAATAAATAAATAAATAAAGGATGGATGACTAGATAGATAGATAGATAGATAGATAGATAGATAGATAGATGCTAAGATGGATGGATGGATGGATAGAGATAGATAGATAGATAGATAGATAGATAGATAGATAGATAGATAGATAGATAGATATGAATGGATGGATGGATGGATGGATGGATAGACATAGGTACATAATGGATGGATGACTAGATAGAGAGAGAGAGAGGGATGGATGGATGGATGCATGGATGGATGGATAGACGTAGGTTCATAATGGATGGATGACTAGATAGATAGAGAGAGGGATAGATGGATGGATGGATGGATGGATGAATAGACGTAGATACATAACAGATGTGTGACTAGATAGACAGACAGACAAGGATGGAGGGAAGGAAGGAGGGAGGTACATAGCAGATGAGTGACTGGACGGACGGATGGATGGAAAGGAAGGAAGGAAGGACATATCACAAAAGCAATGCATCAAGAATTGGACTCCGCTTGGGAGAAGCCAAGAAAGATCTGACTGCTGGACTAGTTGAGACCTCGTAAGGACAGAGGCGAGAGGTTTGCAGAGCACAGGAAGCAGAAGTAGACGAAGTGGTGCAAGGATGATTGATAAAGAAAGCAGACGACCAAGAGGCCCATCCCGTGGATTGGTGTGCGCTAGACGTAGCGTGATTTCTCTTCTCTCCTTTACATGCCCCTCACCCCCGAGGTTTAAACCCTGCGTTTCCTTCTCCTCCCCTCCCTCTGGTTCCAGCTGGCCTTCAGCTATAAAACGTTCCCCCTGAGGTCCCAGGACTGCTAAACTCCAGCAGGTATCAGCCAAGGTGAAGCCAGCGGGCTTCCCGGGTGGAAGGTCACGGCAGAAGGTCGAGAAGGCAAGACGAAAAGGGGACACCGAAAACTCCATGTAACACCTGCTCACAGCTTAATGACGGGCTCAAATCCCCGCGGATGTCCAGGGCTTAAGTAAGGAACAGGTTTCTGGCTTTCTGCAAAATACGAGTTAGGCAATACTTTTATTCCTTTTTTTTTTTTTTAGCCTTTTACACAATTTGGATTTTTGGATCCGGCAGGCCTGCTGGTCTCAAATGACCAGGAGGAGGAAATAAAAAAAGCAGATTTTGCATACATAAAGGCAATCCTCGGTTAAAAAAACCCGCTCATTTAGTGACCGTTCGAAATTACGACACTGAACAAAGTGACATGACTTTTTCACACTCGCCACTGTTGTAGAATTCCCCAAGGTCATGTAATCAAAATTCAGATGCTTGGCACCTGACTCATACTTATGACGGGTGCAGCGTCCCTGGGGTCACGCGATCCTCTACGGCAATCTTCTGATGAACAAATTCAAAGGGGGGGGAGCCAGATTCACTTAACAACCGTGTTACTAACTGAACGACTGCAGGGATTCACTTAACAAGAAAGGTCATGAAACGGGGAAAAACTCATTTAACAACTGTCCTGCTTCGCAGCACACATTTTGAGCCCAATTGTGATCGTAAGGCAAAGATTACCTGTAGTTAATAACAGAGCTGGAAGGGACCTTAGAGGACTTCTAGTCCAGCCCCCTGCTCAGGCAAGAGACCTTACACCATTTCAGACAAATGGTTGTCCAGTGTCTTCTTGAAAACTTCCAGTGTTGGAGCATTCACAACTTCTGGTGGCAAGTTGTTCCACTGGTTAATTGTTCTCACTGTCAGGAAATTTCTCCTTAGTTCTAAGTTGCTTCTCTCCTTGATTAGTTTCCATCCACTGCTTCTTGTCCTGCCTTCAGGTGCTCAGGAGAATTTGTTATCTGCCTGTCCATCCATCCATCCATCCATCCATCCATCCATCCATCCATCCATCTCTGATGATATTACCTACAGTAGTTAGGTTAATGAAAAGTCTGCAAGAAAACAAGTAAGCTCAGAGAGCGCTAAGAACCCCCATGTCAACCCTGAGCTACAAATATTCTCCTTTATTGGAACTAACTATCTATCTCTAACTAACCAGCTATCTTCATCCATATCAGGGGTGGGTTCTAAAAATTTTTATTACCGGTTCTGTGGGCGTGGCTTATTTTGTGGGCGTGGTTTGATGGTCATGTGACAATTCTTCAGGATTTAGCAGAGGTACTGATCTACCAGGCTTTTAACTGCTTGCAGAGCTGTACCGGTCTACTCATTTGTTTTTGGAGGCACCGGTCTACCCATTTGTTTTTCGAGCGCACTGGTCTACCACCACACTGCCTTTTAACACTGATCAGCTGTAGGGCGGCCCTTTGATGCCCCGCGGCAAGAGTTTAAACAGTTTTTTTCCTTCTAGCCGATCAGCTAGGACTCGGGAAGCAGCGAATAGATTGGGGGCGGGGCCAAATAAAAGGTAAGAATAACGCGGGGGGGCAGGAGGACCCAGCTCCCGAACAAAAAGAACCGGTTCGGTGACGTCATATTGTCACGGCTACCGGCTCGGCTGAACCGGGAGGAACCCACCACTGATCCATATCCATCCATCCAATCATCCATCCCTGTCTGCCTGCCTGCATCTCTCCCTCCCTCTCTCTCTTTCTCTCTATCACTAATTAACTAACTATATCTATCTTTTTCTTTCTTTCTTTCTTTCTTTCTTTCTCTTTCTTTCTTTCTTTCTTTCTATCTCTAACTAACTAACTAACTAACTCTATCACTAACTCTATCTTATCTTATCTTACCTTACCTTACCTTACCTTACCTTACCTTACCTTACCTTACCTTACCTTACCTTACCTTACCTTATCTTATCTTATCTTATCTTATCTTTCTATCTATCTATCATCTTATGTTTGTTTTATTTAATTTGTATACCGCCCTACTCCCGAAGGACTCAGGGCGGTGAACAGCCACAAGATAAAAACACATAAATACAAAATTTAAAAGCAGAATAAAACCGAATTAAACAATTTGGCTGAAGACAGATTTAAAACACCCCAATAAATTAAAACCAATTAAAATTTGTATTTTAAAAGGGAAAAAAGGGAAAAATTAGGCCAGGCCAGCCTGGTGGAATAAAAAGGTCTTGAGAGTGCGGCGGAAGGTGCGTAGATCCGGGATCCTCCGTATCTCCGGGGGGAGCTCATTCCAGATAGTAGATGCCCCCACAGAGAAGGCCCTCCCCCTGGGAGCCGCCAGTCGACATTGTTTGGCTGACGGCACCCGGAGGAGCCCCTCTCTATGAGAGCGTACTGGCCGGTGGGAGGCTACTGATGGCAGCAGGCGGTCTCGTAGATAACCATCCATCCAGAGAATTGGTCTCTAGCAGTGTTATTATCTGCAGATAACTTTTGGGGGGGGGGGGGGGGAAGGTTGCTATTCAAAACTTTTCTCTCCAATTCTAAAAAGGCATGCCCAATCTGATGGGATATGGAGACGCAACGAAAACGAGGGCTGGCTTGATTGAGCCAGCCAGAAAAAAAATAAATCTCGGTTGTGTTACATGTGAATGCACCCCGTTGAAGCGGAAGGCGAAGGGCATCTGATTTCCTTGTACAATAAGTGGATGAGGCAGGTTCTGCCTTAGGGCGGGGGGAAAACAGCAGCTGCTGCTTTATCAAGCCATTAAAGGTGACAATTGTTGGCACAGCTAAGAACTCAGAGGGAGCACCAAGCGGTGGGATGCGTGAAGGTTTCTCGGTGATCAAGGGGTAGCCGTCCTTCGGTCCATCGTACTTCTGGATTATTGCATCCAGTTTTGGTCACCAGAATTTTTTAAAAAATATTCTAGAAAGAGCGCAGAGGAAAGCCACAAAGATGATTAGGGGGCTGGAGACTAAAATATAGGAAGAAGGGTTGCAGGAATTGGGTTTGTCTCAAGGTAAAGGTTCCCCTCGCACATCTGTGCTAGCCGTTCCCGACTCTAGGGGGCGGTGCTCATCTCCATTTCAAAGCCCAAGAGCCAGCGCTGTCCGAAGACGTCTCCGTGGTCATGTTGCTGATCTGTCCCCGTACCCACACACACACCAACACAGCCAGTCGAGGGTTAAGGAAACACTTTGGAACGCACCCAGTTCTTATCTCCCACTTGGCAGCGATAGACACACCGTCTGCCAAGTGACTTTATTTTCAAAGTAAAACAGAAAGATAAATACTCAAGAGTCCAAATGTCCGACACTTTAAATCTTTCTCTCAGCAGTTCCGGACGAGGCTTTAGTGACTATCTAAGGTTTGCTTTGTTCGTCACAAGGATCACTGGCCACCACCCTCTATTATATAGTCTCTGGGGTGTGGTCCAGTGACTCAGTTCTAATCCCTAGCACACCTCCTAAGATGCTGCAAACGTTTATCACGCCTTCGGAGGCGTGCGTCCAGGAATGATGTTTCTTCATCACTCTGATCCGAACCAGCTGTCTCCTCTCCCTCGGCCGGCACTTGAGACAATGCCAGAGGGGAGGGGCCTGGAGAGGGAGGCCTGGCTGACTCCT